CCAAAAAAAACCTCAGGCAGTACAGTCAATTATGGGCCTCTTCTATTTTCAGAGACTGTTTACAGGCCTCTCTCCTCTACCCTGACTCTGAGCAAGCAGATAGGTGTGTGTGTTTGTGTGTGTGTCCTGGAAGCTAGGGTTGGTGACAGATGCTCACAGGGATAGTAACCTTTAAAAGCTCTGGGCCCAAAGTCTAATGATGACCTGTGTATGTAATCCTCAGTAGAAATTTAAAAAAAAATCAAATACTACCAAGCCAAGAGCAGAGGAAAAACAACCTGTTCAACAGAAGAGTCAAGATATTGAAGCTGGGCCATGGGGGCTGGAGAGATGGCTTAGAAGTTAAGAGCACTGCATCAATTCCCAGCAACTACATGGTGGCTCACAACCATCTATAATGAGGTCTGATGCCTTCTCCTGGGGTACAAGCATGTATACAGATTTAAAAAAAAACTATGCATAATAAATGAATAATTAAAAAAAAAGAAGAAGCTGGGCCATGGTGGTAGCACATGCCTTTAATCCCAGCACTCGGGAGGCAGAGGCAGGCAGATCTCTGTGAGTTCGAGACCAGCCTGGTCTACAAGAGCTAGTTCCAGGACAGCCTCCAAAGACACAGAGAAACCCTATCTTGAAAAATAAACTCCTATTGGTGTCTTCCTTTGGGAGCACCACAGGCTGCTGGAGAACAGAGCAGGGGCAGGGCCCCTTATATCCTTTAGGGGGGTTATTTGTGGTGTTTTAGTTGGTTAGTTTTGGTATTTTTGCCATATTGGAATGAGAACCCAGGCCCATATTGGAATGAGAACCCAGGCCCATATTGGAATGAGAACCCAGGCCCTAGCCATGCATGTTGGTGCACGCCTTTAATTTCAGCACTTGGGAGGCAAAGGCAAGTAGATGTCTGAGTTTGAGGCCAGTCTGGTCTACAGAGTGATTTCCAGGACATTCAGTGCTATACAATGAGATCCTGACCCTGTCCCTTTCCTATGCAGGCAGCATCACTGAGACAAAGCCTCCACCCTATTTCTTTTTCTTACTTATTTAATTCATTTTGCATTTCTGCAGTCCTAGTGATTGAACCTAGGGCCCCAAACATGCTAAGCAAATGCTCGCTTAGAATGTAGGAAGCCCTGAGTTTCAGAGTCTTGCTAGGTTCAATGGCTGTAGTTCCAGCACTTGGAAGACAGAGGCAAGAGGATAAGTAAAAGTTTGAAGCCAGCCTGGGCTTCATAAAGAGTTCCAGGCCAGCCAGGGGTACACAGCAAGACCCTGTTTAGAAAACAAAAGCTAACCCTCTATAACAAGTCTTTTATCATTCTTGGCGACATCAAGTATCCCTTGACCTACCTCTCCCTCCCTTTCTCTTCTTGCTAACAGCATTGGGTATTTACATGCTGGGATGTGTACTATGACACATCTGGAACTCTCATGGACTAAGCTCACCCCAAGGGTCAGGAAGACCACATGCAAAGTTAGTTCCAGCACAGCGGGATCTACCAGCAACCTGGCTTGTCCCTGTCCCAACCTTCAGAGTCCAACCCAGAGAAGTGTCCAGTGAGAAAACCCACAAACACACATGTTACATGTGTGATTCCTGGTCTGCTCCCACATGTAGACGAGTATGGTCATCAGCAGAAATAGTGAGTGCGAAGCCGGAATAGCCAGTGTTCATTCCAGAGGGAACCCATGGGCAGCCTACTCGGTGTAATTTGGATATCAAATAATGGCAGTCCCCCAGAAGCAAGGCCCTTTGGCCGCCTAGGACATAGGGATTTTGTCTTTGCTTTAAGCAGACTCAAGGAGGCTGACAGTTCTAAATGCAAGTGCCTGGTATCTAGAAGAGACAGAAATTCCTTTGAGAAGCAGGGGATAGAAGAAGACATCCAGATCAATGATGATGTGAGGAAGATAGGCCTTGGGTACCAAAGACAGGATACAACAACCTTATACAGTTATTGGACTTCTCTGAGCCTTGGTATCCCCACCCAATAAGTGAGCTCAGTAAGATTTCCTAAATTCAGACCTAAAAGTGAACAAAGCAGCCAGGTGTGGTGGCTCATACCCATAGCCCACTCTTCAGGAGGCTGAAGCCTGGGACAGAAGGCCAAGTGTGACGGCACATGCCGGCCTTGGGAGGTCATCTCACCCCCGTAACTAACTGCTAAGTGGTATGCTTTCATGTCATCAGCTGTAACGTTTTACGATGGATTCTGCCTTCCACTTTTGGCTCTGTGAAGTTGGCCAAGTACAGAGAAAAATTTATGCTTCTACTGGACAGGTACAGACCTTTACCCCAAGCCATAATTTCCTCAGTAATACAGTATAATGGTTTGCATAGCATTTACATTGTATTAGGTAAATACTCAGAGAGGATGTAAAGTATGCATTAGTTAGTACATGTGTAGGTTACATGCAAATACACCTGTACAGTTTGGTATCTTCTGGTCACTCTGCAATCAATCCCCCATGGACACCAGCAGATGACTATTTTATTTTATTCTACTCTATTTTATTCATTTTTTAACTTATTGTGAAAGGGATCAAACTCAGGTTTTTATGCTAGGCAAGTATTCTACCACTGACCATAACCCTATTTTTTGTTTTTATCCTTTACTTATTTAGACAGGATCTTACTATGTGGTTCAGGCTAGCCTCAAACTCAAGATCCTCCTACCTCAGTCTCCTTAGTATTGTCATACACCACTATACCCGGCTGAGACAACTGTATTACTGTTGCTTGTGACAATACTATTTACTTGTTACTATCCCAGTTTTAGAAACAAAAACGAAAACTCAGACATGTTAAGTAACTTGCCCAGAGTCACAAGCTCTGAGTGAATCTTGAGTGGGAAGGTGAAAAACACCTGAGATTTGTCTGCCACAGCAGCTATAACAGGCTTAAAGCCGATGACTGGTACAGCAAAGCATGCTGGGAGATGAAGGAGCAGGCAATCCCCACAGGCGACTGGACCAGGACACAGAGGTGGCACGCATAGCATGCACTTGGGTTGCTCAGTGGAGCCAATCAATGCAGCCAAGCCTGAGCATTCAAGGGGCTGGACCCCAGCGACAGAGGCCTTCGAGTCCAGGCTGAAGGATCAAGCAAAGGTTCTGTACTGGGAGATGCCTTGCCAAGACAGCTGGAAAGTCTCAGTACCACCCTCAGAGATAGTGACAAGGCACACGCTGGCCGGGAAGAGTGCAAACAGAAGGGCTCACATGAGCATGACAAGCAAGACTCAGTAGGGCTCTGGCACAAGTAATCCACAAAGTCACCAGCACTCTCTGAGTGGGTTTTCACTGATGATATCCCAATTACACCAAGTAGGCTGCCCATGGGTTCCCTCTGGAATGGACACTGGCTATTCCGGCTTCGCACTCGCTATTTCTGCTGATCACAATATGTCCGTCTCTATCTCATCACTAGGTCTTAGCTCAAATGTCACCTCATCAGGAAGGCCTCCCTGTCGCCTTCTGCCAGTTGTACCTCCAGCTTACATCAGCTACTATCACCTTACACATTTCCTTTTCTGGGCATGAAAACTTCAGCCATCCCTAGGTATGGCCTGTTTCTTCATTCTGTCATCTCTGGCTGGAATGCCAACTCTCTAAACAGAGATCACGTCTGCCCCGTACAGGTGCGTGCACCACATCTGCCCCGGACAGGTGCATGCATGCACCACATCTGCCCCAGACAGTGCACCACATCTGCCCCGGACAGGTGCATGCATGCACCACATCTGCCCCGGACAGGTGCATGCATGCACCACATCTGCCCCAGACAGTGCACCACATCTGCCCCGGACAGGTGCATGCATGCACCACATCTGCCCCAGACAGTGCACCACATCTGCCCCAGACAGGTGCGTGCACCACCGTCGTAAGCAGTGCCTGCCCGCCATGATGCCCACCATTTATTATCTTAGTTTACTCCCTTTGGGGAGCAATGAAGGGACACAATGGAACCAAGGGTCCAAAGTAAGGGGGAATTTGCCTAGAAGTGGGCGAGCTTTCTCCAGTGTGCCTTCAAACTGTCATGTCTGAGGCGAGGTGAACTACCCAGTGGGGACAGGTCCTAAGCCGGAGGCAGAAGCGGAGGTTAAAAATGAGAAAAGACAATCACATCTGGGGTGGGGGGTTGAGGAAGAAAAAGGAGGCAGAGGAATATGAGTGGGCCTGGGGCCTTGAATCCTGTGAGAAGGGACGTTCACAGGGACAGGAAGCTGACCCGGGGCAGGGGTGATGGTGGTGACAGACTGTAGAGTGTGAACAATGCCCGTCTGCCCAGACTAACAGAGTCTGTAGAACACAGGTGGCAGAGGAGACTTACCCTCGGGACAGCATCTCCCTGGAGGAGTGGGGGAAGTCACGGGCAAAGGCGACGGGGGCGGGGCCAATCCACTGGCACAGCTGCTCGGGGATCCTGCAAGGCCTTCAGGAAGAATACTCTGGTTCGCAGCCACTTCCTCCTCCAGCCTGTCAAACCTATGGCACTTTGAGGACGAGCCCCTGGCCTACAGGTCTCCGAGGGAAGGAGAGCTGGGGCGGGACTGCCCGAGACCGCCCACCACAGCCGAATTCCCCAGGGGCCCGAGGCAGTCCAGCAGGCTGCAGGCCTGCCAGGGCAGACTTCTCTGGGAAGGGGAGGAGCCGCCTGCTGTTCCACCTGGAGCTCAAACTGACAGAGCAGCAGGAGGGCGGGTAGGGGCAAAGACCAGGAAGTAACTCTAGCCCAGGGACTGCCCCCAGCAGAGACCTCTCAGACACTGGGAAGCCGAGGCCGAGGCAAAGCCTTGAAGCCGCTGCTCAAAGGAGGCACCACCTTTGTGAACAAATCTCCCAGAGTGCCAAGAGGCCCATTTAGCACCCTGGGAGGAAAGGGGCTCTCAAGGGCAGGGCTGGCCCCAGCAAGGAGTATAGGAGGGGGCAAAGGCCAGGCGCGGTGGGGTAGCAGCAGCGGGGGTAGCCGGGACTACAAATGACTGACACCAATGAAGTTTAGTCTCAAGCACATTTATTATCCTCAGGAACACGGGTCTTCCTCCCAGCAGGGGTGCACAGGCGAGAGCAGTCTCAGGAGGCGGCCACACCGCTCCCGGAGGCTGGCCCGTGGGGTGGCAGTGTCATGGGCGGCAGGAACAGGGCCTTTAGCTTGCCGGACAGGCTGGCGATCTCAGGGTCCTGGGCTTCATAAGACTTGACTAGGCGGGCAAACTTAAGGACACCTGCAGGAGGGAGCAAAAACGCCTGCTGGAGAGCGGTGTGCCAGGGCAGGGACGGGGTCCCTAGGAGGAGGCACCATCTTCCAAAGAGGACCATTCACACTGCTGTCCTACACGGCTTCCGTAGAGCCCCACCCCACTGTTCACCAGGCACAACTGGACACAACACGGGAAATCCTGAAGTATCCAGGCGTGGCGGTGGGCAGCTTTAATCCCAGCACTTGGAAGGCAGAGGCACGAGGCTCTCTGAATTCGAGGCCAACTTGGGTCTACAAAGCAAACTGTAGGGGCTACACAAGGAAACCCTGTCTCAAAAAGGAGAAAGAAAAAGTCCTAAGGCAGAATTTTTTTATCACTGTCAGGTGAACCATGCTAGGTGCTTTGTCTCAAGCAGCCTAAATATGAACAAGATCCCAGGGCTACAAGTAGTCCCTGGCTAGCTAGGCCAACTCAGTGGACACACGCCCTTGGGAAGAGCCCTCGATCGTCCTCAGTCTTCGGTGCCAAACCTCTAAGTACAGGCCTTGCAGGAACGGCAGAAGCCTGTTGCCAGGCAGACGAGAGTTCAGGTGACTCAAGACTACTCAAAATCACCTACCAGAAGGCTGATGAGGGAGGGTCAGGTCCAAGGCCAGTCTGGAACCTTAGTGGGACCCTGACTCAAAGAGAGCTGAGTAGAAATAGCTCAGTGGTGGAGAGCTTGCAAGACACAAGACCTTGGGTGGTTCAAGAGCCAGTACTTTAAAGAGAGAGAGGGGGAAAATAAAGAAAACGCTCAGGATTGGGCGCTGAGCTCTGAGTGCCAATGTTTGATTTGACTGCCGCCCTGTGGCGAGAAAGAGGTCGGCCACTGATCACGAGCCCCACCCCCAATCCATCCCATCGCCATTCCATGTGGGACCCACCTTCCCCGTCGCAACTAAAGCCGTAGGCTTTAATGACCTCCTGCTGGATCTGCGTGGCTACCGGCAGCACGAATTGCAGCATCTTCCCCATATCGTTGCACGCATTGTCTCTAGCCTCGTCCATGCGCACGGCATTCTCTGGGGCCGAGAACGCTTGGATCACCTCCGCAAGGACCACTGCACGGCGGAAGCATCCCAGCGAGGTCGGTGGAGCCAGGCGGAGGAGCCCGAGGAGGGAAGAGGCAGAGAGTCAGTGGATCGAGGCGGCCAGCAACCCGATAAGCTGGTCCTCCCAGCCCTTCGCCCTAATGGGCAGGGGCCCCACTTGGAGACGGAGCGGGTAAAGCAGCGCCCTCCCCCCAGAGGCGGCCCACGCCCGGACGAGGCTCCTCACCCTTGGCCTGCTCTGCGCTCAGGGCCGCGGGCTGGGCCGAGGCGGACGCCATAGGACGCCAGTGGCTACTTGACTAGTGGAAACGGAAGAGATTCTCGGAGACGCCAGCTGCCTGCAGCCTCCTACCACGGCTGCTGGGCCGGTGGAGGCGGAGAGGAAGCTATACCGCACGAGGCGGAAGTCCCTGAGCATCCACACGCACTTCCTAGAGGACCACAGCGGGGACAAACTCCCTCACCCACCGAGATCCGGCTATAGCTGTTTTGTTAACCAGTCGATTTGGGAGGGTTTTCCGGCAAATAGCCAGAAAACCTGCTAGACAAATTCTAAAAGAGCTGTAACACTGAAGAGTACTGTTCAGCAGCGAGCCCGGGAAGAACACAAACTCCACTTACGATGAGGGTGAGATCAGCGTGCCAATTTTCTCCACCACCTGCTAATATGAGAATAACAAGACACACTTTTCTCATTCGATTTGGTAAATAATATTCTAGAGGACTATAAAACTGGTCGTTTCTTGAGTTTGTGACTGTTTGATACAGGGCTATGCAAATGACTCAATGCTGATTGGCTGGAAACAGCCAATCACAGCCCCTTCGTTGTTATGAGCGAAAACAGGGCTTCGCAATAATAAAATCTTGGCGTGGAAGCCGATGTGGCCCAACGGCTTGTATTTTCATCCTTACAGGCTCTTGTCACCCATCCCCTTCTCAAACTGCAAAGGTGATCCAGAAAGTCATGCCCTACGGGGCATAGTACTGCACTTTTGTGACACTAGCACAAAAGCTGAGAGGCTGGAGGACCACAAGTTGAAGGCCAGCCTAGGCTACATGACCCTGCCTCATTAAAAATAGGGGGACTGTAAAGATGGCTCGCCCCGCCTGGAAACTCTCGACTGCCTGTAACTCAAACCACCGGAGATCTTCCACCCTCTTCTGGGCTCTTGCACTCACGGGTACAGACATGAACACATACTCATAATAAAAATAAATCAGCGCTGGTGCACGTCTTTAATCCCAGCACTCGGGAGGCACGCAGATCTCTGTGATTTTGAGACCAGTCTGGTCTACAAGACAGCCTCGAAAGCCACAGAGACATCCTGTCTCGGGAGGCAGAGGCAGGCAGATGTCTGTGAGTTCGAGTCCAGCCTAGTCTACAGAGCAAGTTCCAGGACAGGCTCCCAAAGCCACGCAGAGAAACCCTGTCTAAAAAAAAAAAAAAATCAGCAATACTAATCTTATCAGCCTACTGGTTATGCTAATCCAACTGTTTCAAAACCATTTATCGAGCCATGCTGTGGAAAGGCAGTCAGCTCTTCAAAACTGTTTCTGGAGCATGCTGATGGCAGTTAGATGAGTGGTGGAAGTGCTTCTAGAGTCTGAGTACTTTTCTAGATTTGCTCATGCTCACTGTGGGCCTGCTCTTGCTCTCAAAGGCCTCAGCTGCCTTACCTTCCCAATCCTGGGAGAAATCAGAGCACTAATACGTGGCACCCCCATAACCATAGCTGAGGATCTACAATCAAGAAGAGCGCTGCCCAACTCTTCAGTTTCCATAAGAAAACCCATCCTGGCCAGGCGGTGGTGGCGCACGCCTTTAATCCCAGCACTCGGGAGGCACGCAGATCTCTGTGATTTTGAGACCAGCCTGGTCTACAAGACAGCCTCCAAAGCCACAGAGACATCCTGTCTCGAAACCCCACCCACCCCACCCCCATAAGAAACTCCATCCCTTCCCAACCCCCAAGACAATCAGGCCCCCCGCCCTGCCCACCCCACCAGACCCACAGCCCCCCAAAAACAAGTCACAGACATATTCTTGGGGAACTGTAAGGATGTTTTTGTTTGGTTGGTTTTGGTCAGGATGTTTTTTAAAGAGCATCATATAGATATTTATATATATAAATTATTAATGTGGGGCGGGCAAGGGGCACACATTGCCGAGGGGGGTGCACACGGGGGATGGGGCGGGGCCAGCACACAATGCTACGCAAAACAGCCACGTCTAACGGATGAAATAATCACACCACGGGTTAGGGGAGGAGCAGTGGCCACCAAGGGTTGGGCACAGAGGAGAAGAAAAGCAGGGGATAAGGAAGAGGGACCTGGTCCATGATGCTGTGCATTTCCGTCCCCACCCTGGCCACTCCCACCTCTGCACACGCCCGGGCCTTGACCTGTCTGTCCCTTCTTCCCTCCCTCCCTCCCTCTGCCCAGCTGCAGAAGCTCTGTGAGTGGGTAGCACCCTCTCCTCGGCGTGGGGGGGTCTAAAGGTTGGGGGCGTCCTCCAAGGTCTGGATGAAGGAGCAGTGGGTGTTCTCTGGATCGCAGGTCTGGATGAAGGAGCAGTGGGAGCTCTCTGGATCGCAGGTTCTACAGTGGCTTGTCGCTTTCCTTCTTCAGATGACTAGATGAGAGGCAAGGCATCAGAGAGGTAAGACTAAGAAAGGAGGTTCCCCCCAAAGGGCCTGTATCCTGCTGTAGCACACCCACAGCCCGCCTCCCCACGCTCGGGGGCAACCTGTAGTACCTGTAGTAGTCTTCCTGGGCAGGGAGTGGCACGCTGTGCAGAGGGTGATGGGCATGCAGCCACTGTTGCTGTTCCAGCGCCAAGCGCTGCAGCTCAGCTGACTGTGCGTGCATGGCCTGCAGCTGATGAGCGGCTGACATTGGAGCAGAGAGGGAGGCTGGCAGGTCCCGGTAAGGGGCAGCTGTGAGAAGACAGACAGGAGCATGCGATGGATGGATAGGAACAGTCAGCCACTTTGCAGAGGAAACTCAGGCTACCGTGTAACGTTCCACCACAATCTGCCTCTATTAGAAGGACCTCAGACTCTACTGCTGCTCCTCGCCTCGCTCTCTGCAAACTCCACCTCTACCCTAGTTCCTCGGCTCTGGCCTTCCTTTACTTGAGCGTCTCCATCCTTACCAAAGAGCTGGTGACGAAGAACTTCGTTCTCGTGCAGAGGGTGAGGAAGAAGGGGATTAGGGAGGGTTCCGGCCGGGTAGGGGATCCGGGTGAGGTGAGACCCCGAGGCCAGCGGGTCAATGAGAGGGTGCACCGAGGCGGAGGCTGGAGGGCAGAGAAAGGAGCGTCACCAGGAGGCGGGGGCAAGGACAACCATGCAGGGGGTGGAGGGATCTAGCCTGTGAAGACAGACCCAAGGGGTCCAAAGCAGGACGAAACCAGAGTGGAAGAGCTAGAGACAGTCTGAGATGGGATGGAAAGAAGGAATTGCCGGAGAGAGGCACAGATGACTGAAGACAGATCAGTTAGCAGAGAGGGCTGAGGGGGAAAGGAGAGAATGAATTACTCTGAAGAGATGAGGGATATTTACTTATTAAGTTTAAGAAATGAGACAGGAGAAAAGTATAAAGATGTGGGGTGAATATGAGCAGAATTCAATGTATGAAAATGTCAAAAGCCTGCTGTATACCTACTAAATCAATAAGTGCTCTAACTAGGGAGGAGGGTGAGAAGAAACGAGGAACTCAAGATGAAAGTCTGAGGCCAACCAGGCAGTGCTCTGAGCTATAAACTACAGTGAGAGCGAGTAAAGTCCATTGTTACCTATGGCACCAAAGCCACACTTACATGGGCTTTTCTAAAAGTTCTAAATCTACAGATGGGCAGAAGAAGTACGGGAAGGAGGCGACAGCAAAGGCACAAGAACACTGGCATATGAGGGCTTAGGGAGAGGAGAGGGAGGTAGAGAAGGGGACGGTCCTCTACACGGCTGCAGCGTGGTCTGTTACCAAGGCTGGAAGGCTGGACCATGCAGAGTGTATGGGACAGTGTGGCAGGACAGTCAAGGAAGCAAAGATGACAACAGCGTCTCAAGAGAAGGTGACTGAACCCAGACGGGAGGGGAGGCTCTGGCCGGAGGAACAGAACGTTAGGGATACGGCAGAGCCACACGGGAAGCGGCCTCTTACCTGCGTGGATGGCGCCCTGGGCCTCTTACCTGCGTGGATGGCGTCCTGTTGGTGCAGGTGGAGGTGGGAGTGGATATGAGAGTGCTGGTGGTGATGGGGAGTCACGTTGAGCATCTGCAGCCTGGCCAGTGGGTCATTGCCCAGGGCTGCCACCCTTTCTGCATGCTGCCTTTCAGCTGCCAGCCGCTCCGCATAAGACATGTCAGGGCGCAGGGCTGGCCCAGCTGCCAGCGCCAGCCGTTCTCGCTCCAGGGGCCCCAGGCTCGGATGAAAAGGGAAAGGATGCAGGCCAGGAGGCCCAGGCTGTAGAGCCAGGCCCCCGTGTCGGGGGAAGGGATCCAGGCCTGGTCCGGGGACCCCATGTAGGGGTTCTAGCTCACTAGGCTTCACCTCAAAGCCAGGCTTAAGCCGGTCACGGAGGTCACGTTCACGGGCTTCCCGCTCCCTTTCTCGGGCAGCTGGGTCGCTGCTGTACAGGGCTGGGACATTGTAACCCAGAAGCCCGGGGTCCACTGCCCCCAAGGGTACATAGAACGGGTGGTTGCGATTGCCAGGAGACATGACGTGAGGTCGGGCGTATTCACTGAGAGTGCGCAGGGCTGGAGTATCAGGACCCAGGTAAGGGGGCACTGTCGCCACAGCGCTGCCAGGCTCAAAGGGAGGCCGATGGGGCACTGGACCCAGAGATGGGCACTCCACCGGAGCACGGCCCTCCTGGGCCAGCTTCTGTAGAATACAGAAATAAGCAAAGTCAGAATTGCAGTTACGGAAAGTTACCGACCCCAGGCTGCCCGGCGGATCTCAGTAGTGGAAAAGCCAAAATGCCTCACCCCACTCACTCCCAGCTTTCTTTTTCTCCTGCCTGGAAGTCTGAGCTTTCCGGGCTGTAGTGGCTCCTCCCCTCCGCCAGGTGGCGAAGCGACCGGAGTGGCGAAGCCCGGGACCGGGAGAGGCGCGCGGCGCACCCTGTGACGCACTCACCACACTGCGCTCCAGCTCGCGCTCTTTCTCGCGCTCGCGCTCCTTCTCGCGCTCCCGTTCGCGTTCGCGCTCCTTTTCTTCGCGCGCGCGCTGCTCGGCCTCGCGCCGCACCTTCTCGACCAGGTCCGCGCGCTTCTTGGCCAGCTTGGATCCCTCCAGCGGCACGAAGTACAGATCGCTGCGCGCGCACGAGTTGAAGCCACGGTCCAGGTGCTTGTTGAACCTGCCGGGCGCAGAGGTGTGAGCCCGAGCCGCAAAGGCTTGTGTCCCTAGTTCTAAGAGCGCGGTGGCGGTGAACGCAAGGCCCCTGCCGCCTCTCGTCTTGCTTCCAGACCCACCCGCACCACCCCACGGCTGCTCACCTGGCTGACTGACTGGCATGGCTGGGCACGTCTACCACCTTGGGAGGAGGAGAGGGGCT